GCAGAAAGCCGCATAGTAGGCTGAAGGGTTCCACAGACCAGATCACTGAGCTGTGCTGTGCTGTCTCTCCTTTGGATCCCTAATGCCTTTCATCTGGGCCATTGGCTTTAGCTCAAGCAAGTCCCCCTCCTCTCGGTGGCAAGTAACACTGCAGAAGGGAACAAAGAGAACTGCTGTTCAGGATGTTTCCATGTGCTTCCAAGTGATATGCAAGTGTTATTTCCATTAACATAAATCCTCCTGAAATCATTCTGTGTGTGACATCAATCCACATGTTCTTAATTTAAAAATATAAAAAACATGAAAGTAATTGGAGAAGACACACATACATGGAAAGGTATTTCATATTTTTGAATTGAAAGAATTAATATTTTTTAATATTATTAAAATGTTCATACTACACAAAGCAGTCAACAGGTTCAGTGCAATACCTATCAAAACCCCAATGGGGTGTTTCACAGAACTAGAATAAATCATTCCGAAATCTGTGTGGCACTACAAAAGGCCCCAAATAGCCAAAGCAATATTGAAAAAGAGCCAGGCTGGAGGTTATCAGGCTCCCTGATTTCAAGATATACTACAAAGCTACAGTAATCAAAACAGGATCATACTGGTACAAAAACAGACACACAGATCCCTGGAACAGAATTAAGAGCCCAGAAATAAGCCCACACATATATGGACAATTCTTCAACAACAGAGGAGCCAAGAACCTACAATGGAGGAAGGACAGTCTCTTCAATAAATGGTAATGAGAACACTGATCAGTCACAGGCAAAATAATGAGACTGGGTCACTATCTTACACTAGACACAAAAATGGACTCAAAATGGACAAAAGACTTGAATGTAAGACCTGAAACCATAACATTCCTGGGGGGGGGGGGGGCGGGAAGCAACCCATGGGCAGCAAGCTCTTTGACATCAATCAGTCTTAGGAACATCTTTGTGGATCTGACTCCAAAGGCAATGAAAACAAAAGCAAAAATAAACAAATGTGACTACATCAAATTAATGAGATTATGCACAACAAAGGAAACCTTCACCAGAATGAACGAGCAACCTACTGAATGGGGGAGAAGATGTCTGTAGACCAAATATCTGACAAGGGGTTAGAAGGGGTTAGTATTCAAATATATATATATATATATATATATATATATATATATATATATATCCTACAACTCAACAAAAAATAAATAAACGTCTGGTTAAAGAATGTGCAGAGCATGTGAATAAACATTTCTTCAAAGAAGACATCCAGATGGCCAACAGGAACATGAAAAGATGCTCAACATCACTCCTTATTAGAGAAATGCAAATCAAAACCACAGGGAGTTATCTCCTAACCCTGTTACAATGGCTACTATCAAAAAGACAAGAAATAACAAGTGTTGGTAAGGGTGGGGGGGAAAGGGAGCCCTCGTGCACTATTAGTGGGCATGGAAATCAGTGCAGCCACCATGGAAAACAGTATGGAGATTCCTCAAAAAATTAAGAACAGAGCTACCCCATGACTCAGCTATTCCACTTCTGGGTATTTATCCAAAAATTATGAAAACACTAATTTGAAAAGATATGTGCACTCCTATGCCTATTGCAGTGTTAGTTATTTACAACAGCCGAGCTACGGAGGCACCCTAAATGTCCGGTGACAGATAGAAGGGTAAAGAGATGGTCTATAAATACAGTGGAGTATTACTCAGCCATAAAAAAGAATGAAATCTTACCATTTGTAACATCATGGATGGACCTTAAGGGTATTATGCTATGTGACATTTAAATTAGAAAAGACAAATACTATATGATTCCACTCATATGTGAAATCTAAAAAAAAGTAAACAAATGAATGAACAAACAAAATAAAACAAAGACAAAGCCATAGATACAGAGAACACACTAGTGGTTCCCGGAGGGGAAGGGGGTTGAGGGGCAGATGAAATGGGTGAAGGTGGTCAACCGTATGCTGATGAAGGGTAGTCTTAGGGAGGTGATCACTTTGTAGTGTATACAGCTGGCAAATTATAAAGCTGTATGCCTAAAATTTATATAACAAAAAAACATATAGCAAGAAAACTCTTCTAAATCACTTGAATTAACACTAGTAATAATGAAGCCCAGTCTGCATAACCAGCCCCCTGGGATGACAGGCTACTGTGTCCTTAAGTCTAAGTCCTTTGTAATTACTACCCTACAACTGAGTAGCCAAACAAAAAACCAAGCCAAATTCCAAGATGCTGGCCAGGAGGCAAGTCATCCAGAGAAGCCTCTCCCTGTTTCCCTCCCTTCTGAGAGCACTGGCTCTTTTCAAGAGCCCTCAGATCTCATAGCTCCCCTGCAGGTGAACAGCAGATCCAGTAGAAAGACTATTTTGGGTTGGAGGTGGGGGGCCCGATAGCATTTCTTTATTAGAGACAAAGAGGAAGATGAGTGGAAGTGGGATTTTTTTTCTTCTCTCTTTTTTTTTTTTTTTTTTTTTAGGTAGAGAGGAAAATATTTGTGCCCAATGGTCTGAATTCTCTCAGAAGAGGAGTGAATAGGCTGATGTTTGGATAAAGAAAGCTTAAAGGGCACCCAGTGGCTCAGTGGCAGAGCATCTGCTTTTGGCTCAGGATGTGACCCCTAGGTCCTGGGATGGAGTCCCACATTGGGCTCCTCACGGGGAGACTGGTCTCCCTCTGCCTGTGTCTCTGATTCTGATTCTCTCTCTGTGTCTCTCATGAATAAATAAATAAAATCTTAAAAAAAAAAAAACCTTGAGAAGGTGAAAGATGTTGACAAAAAAATCAAATAGAAGCACTAAAAGGATCACCAGTAGAAGCGACAGAGGCATGATGTGTAGGCCAGAGCAGAGAGCTCTCATGCATCTGAGCGGTGCAGGGTCCCGGGACAGCTGGGCAGGGTCTCCGACTTGACCCCAAACTGCAGCTTCACCTGCTGTGACTCAGTCATTCCAACCATTACTTTTCCGTGCAAGGCAGTTCAAGGTCCCCTGCATGATACGCAGGCCTTTTGCCACCCGACCTCTTACCTCTCCAGCATCCTTTTATACCTTCTGTCACACTGAACTAATTTTAGTTCCCCCAAAGGGCCAGGTATTTTCATTGCTTTGGGGCCTTGGATCACACAGCTCCCCTGAAATGTGTTTTTTTTTTCCCCTTTCATGCCTGTGGAACAAACATTCTTTTTTTTTTTTTTTTAAAGATTACTTCTGGGGATCCCTAGGTGGTTCAGCAGTTTAGCGCTGCCCTCAACCCAAGGTGTGATCCTGGAGATCTGGGATCGAGTCTCACATCAGGCTTTTTGCATGGAGCCTGCTTCTCCCTCTGCCTGTGTCTCTGCCTCTCTCTGTATGTCTCTCATGAATAAATAAATAAAATATTTTAAAAATAAAAATAAAAGATTACTTCCTCCAAGAAGCCTTCCACGATCACCTAAGGTAAAACTGATCAGTCTCTCCCTTCCCACCTACCTGCACCTCACACATGCCCCTCCCATCACACACAACTTCCCATTTCAGCATCCTAAGATGCACCTTTTTTCACTTTTCAGAAACCTCTGATGAGATCTTACAAAAGATGGTGCATCATGCTTTAGTTGGCAAGATTTTTTGTCTTTTTGGTACCCCTCAGAAAAGGTGCATTCTAACTGGCGAGCATTGGTGAAATGCAGCTTCATTTTTTTGAACTTTCCGACGTTTGTGGGCAGTACTTCCCACTGGGTGGTGATCTTATTTCCCCTCCCCCCAACACACTCTGGGGAAGACTGGGTTGTACTGGGCGTGCTGGGGTGGTAGTGCTGGGCAGAGGCCAAGGGTGGTGCTAAGCCTCCTGTAATGTTGGGACAGCCCCACAATTAACCAGCCCAAAATGGCAACAGCAGGAGGTTCACAAACTATGTGTAGGGTAAAGCACCTACTTGGGTGTATCTTGTGCTTTATTACACCTGCATTCCAATGGTCTTTTACAGTGTATAGTACAACCTGAAATACAGCCGTTTCCCCCCAAGTCTTGGCTTGTAGTGCAGAACAGCAGCTCTTGAGAACTGCTCTAACTTCCTTCTGCTAGCCTCCCGGGGGAAGGCATGGAGGGGGGAGCCAGAGGACCTCAGAGATCTGTGACCTCAAACCACTGACCATGTGAGGTCAGTGAATGACCTCAGGTTTCCGGGGTCCCCTTGGGCCTGAGGGGCAGCGACTGTGCTCGGGTCTACACTGACCCTAGAGGAGGCTCCGCAGCTCAGCTCCAGTACTCCCGGGCCCACCCTGCGCACAGCCCCACTCCTGAGGGTTTAGGTGGACCCTGTAAGGCCTCTGTGCTCCGTGGGGAGTGGGATTCAGGCAAAAATCACTGGGGTTCTTAGGTGTGAAAGAACTTTACATAAAGCTAGGTGATTTTGTCCTACAGGAGGCAGAGGGGACTTAATCCACGCACTTAAGGCTCTGGGGTAGGGGTCACGGGGGAACTGGGGTGCAGGTGCTGCTCCCCAGCCCAGGAGCTGCCGGTGCAAGGAGCCTTGGGCGGGGAAGGGCAGGGGGAGCTGAGAAAGGAGGTTCCGGAAGGCTTGCAGGAGGCCCATCCGCGGCCCCATCCGCAGGCAGGTGGGCCCAGGTGGGCTCCGAGGTCCGGCCAGCCCCAGGGGTGTCAGCGCCCCCTGGGTCTTGCAGTTGCGGAACCCTGGGGAGAGGGTTCAGCCACCGCCCCCCCCGCCCCCCCCCCCCCGCCGCCCTGGGGGGGTCCACCCTGCCCCAGGCCGCACTCCCCTCCAGGCGGACGGGAAGGCCGCACCTGCTGCGGGCCTGGCTGCTCCATGCTCACCAGCTCCCAGGTCGAGTCCGCCCCCATTAGCTCGCATCGCCGTCGGGGCGTGGTCAGGGCACCGTCACCGGGGACCTGCAGCAGCTCCATGCCTCCTCTGCTCCTCTCATCCCTTCTGGGGGAGCTTGCCCGCACCCCGCGCCCCGCGGACCCCCCTCCATCCCCTCTTCACGCTCCCGCCCGGCCCGGCCTGCCTGGGGCCTGCACGACACGCCAGGGCCACCGACACGAGGTCTGGATTGAACGGGAGCCCGGGGTCTAGGGGGTCTCGGGGGGCCGCGGCGGTCACTGGGTCCCCCCCCCCAGCCCCACTCTGGCCGCAGCAGCTGCAGCGTCTGCAGGGCCACCAGCTGGGGGCTGCGGAGGCCACCAAGGGCGCGGGGCTGGCCATGGCCTCCGCTGGGAGCGCTGGGCCAGCAAGTGCAGCGCCAGGGTCCCACTCCCAACCCCGCGGCTCCCGGCCTCCCCCTGTCACATGTGGGGCGGCCGCGCCCAGGCCCTGGGGTGAGGACCCCGTTCCTCAGGTCCGGGGCTGCGTGCAGAGCCGGGACGGCCTGGGGCGCTGCTCCCCGTGCGCCTGGAAGTCACCGAAGGCCGAGTGCTGCGTCCCTCCCCGGGGTCAGGGCAGCAGGTGCGGGGCGTCGGATGCCTGTCAGCGACCGGCTGCCTTGGGTGCTCGGGCCTGGGAGACACCCACCCTGAGCAAGAGGGCCAAGGGCCGGACAAGGGCAGGCGGGGAGACCCTCCCTGCTCCCACCCTGGGAGAATTTTCAGGGCCTCCTATCCTCCAAACAGAAGGGGGCTTGTGTCCCCAAGTGTGCGGGTCCCTGCCTGGGGCACAGGGCCGTGGGCTCCCCCAGGGGGCTGGGGAGCGGCCTTGGCCCTGCAGGGTGAGGAGCCCCAACGGCCCTGGGGGGGGGGGGCAAAGGGTTTGCAGCTAAATCCGGCTGCGAGCCATGAACCCAGGGCCCGCTGCACAGATAGTGGCTGCTTTTCATTAAACCTAACTTCCCTCTTTCCGGATTTAGGAGAAAAGACTGGGAAATCTGCACTTTGATAGATTGGAAACTACTGGTGTGTGATTGCATTTTAGTGGGGGAAAGCAGCACACATTTGAGGAGAATGGTGTGGACCAGCGTCACAGAGCAGGGTCTCCGCTTTCTCCCTGCCTGGGAAACTATTCCCATCACCTGACAACACATGAAGCCGTAACAAGGGTGAAGGCCCTGGAAAGACACTGGACCCACCCGGCCCACGGGACCCACCAGACCCACTAGCCCGGGAGGCTGGGATTTCACTGTTCCTGTGAAAGGGAGAGTCCGGCCTCGGTGTTGTGCAGTGAGAAGCCAGAGGCCTTTGCGTGGGAAAGCTGCTCCAGTGAGTCCATTAGTCTAAAGGGCGGTCATCAGAGATGGGGGGCGGGGGGGGGGAATTCCGGGTCCTTTAAGGTTTCTTCAGCTCTAGGATAACATGACCCTGTATAATCCTCCCAACTCTCCAGTGAAGTTTCCTTCTAGTTCTCAGTGCTTTCTTCGCCTGTGAAAACAAATCTGAATGCCAAGGTAAAGAAAACCTTTCTTAAACAAAAACGAGTATGTTCACACTAATTATAACCAAGCAAAAATGCATGTCTGTGCATTGACGGAGAGGAAGTGACTTTGGAGGGAAGTAAATAGGTTAATGTTGATTAGCTTCTCTTGACGAAGTTACTGAAGTTCATGATAAAAAATAGAAGACTTCTTCTTTGGGTGTGGGTGTTTTAATCCTCGACTATTGAAATGCATCAGGTTGAGCAGACACTAACCAGGAATAGCGAAAACTAAGCCCTAACTCTCACAGAGCACGTGGCTCTCCAGGGGCGCTCCTCTTTCCAGATAGGCAGGAAATCCAGTTTCGTGGGCTGACTCTTCCACTATCAAATGGCTGAGTGCAAAGCCTTCCTGACAGATGGAATTGCAGCCAACAGCAGAATTGGAATCAGCAGGCGCAGCCTGACCCGAGGCCCCGCTGTTGTGCGTACCAGGCCGACCCTGAGCCCCCCGGGAGCCGCTGAGCCTCGCCGAGTGGGAGACAAGGGCCCTGAGACCCGTGGGGCCTACGGGATGGTACGTGCTGCTGAAATCGCTGTCTGGGTCTCCTCGGGACCTTTAGAGTGCCCTGCACTGCCCAGCACCTCGGGGGGGGGGGTCTGTCTTAGGCTGGGCCACATCTTTCTTCGTCATGACCTTGAAGGGGCTGATGTCCCAAAGCTGAGAGACGAGGCTCCAAGTGAGGAAAAGTATTCGTAGGCTATTGAGGCGGGTCAGCGACCTAGCAGATGGGCCTTGGGTCTAACCCCGGCCAAAGCCATTGGCGCTGGGCTACCGGGCCGAGGGCTGAATGTGGGCTCCCTCCACGCACACTGTCCCGGCTCGGCCACGCTGTAACAGAAGGCACACGCGAGAGGATGGAGCCCAGGACACCGGAGATCTCTGCTTCGCCACACCCGTTTCACTCTTTTATGGAAACATGCCCTCATTTGCCAGTTGAGATTCCTCCTCCGTCTCCGTCCCCATCCATAGAGTCAGGTAGGAGGACGCTGTCCCGCCGCAGAAGGCTGGGGCCAGTCACACGCCACCTTCCCATTGTGAATGGTCAGGAGTGGGCACATGACCCACCTGGAGCCAGTGCAACAATATTTAGGATGCTTTCAGCTGAATGTATTATATAAAATAAAATAACAGAACAAGAAGAGAGTGTAGGCCAAAAGATGAAATAGCAAAAAAGGCGAATTCCTTTCCAACAAGAAAACTTAATATAAGCAATAATCAACTGATTATGTAAACCCATAAGAAGAAGGTCTCGGATCACGAGTCTGAAGGCAGGATGGCTCCAGGGCTGGTTAACCTCTAGGCGGGTCAGATCCCAAGGTGGGCTCCTTTTCCAGATACCCTGGAAACCCGGCTTCATGCCGCTCACCCTTGCACTTTTAAGCGGCTGACTGCAGTGACCCCTCTGGATGTGAGACTAAGATGTGAGTTCTGGAGCTTCTGCAGCCACCTTATGAGTCTGAGGGAGAGCCAACACTAAAGAGAGAAGAAACGAAAGATCTAGAGAGAAGCAGTGGCCTTACAACAACATCAACACCACGGGGGGTCCTAGACTCCGCAACCCCGGGAGACAGCCCCCCACTGAGCTTGTCAGCTGCACAGGCCCCTGGAATCTTTTTGCTTGAGCCACTTGGGGTTTATAGTTTTCGGCCTCTGGCAACAGAAAGTCACACCAAAGCAAAGTGCTTGGCATGTAGGATAGCACAGGTGCGGTGTGGAGGGCTGCGTGGCCCTCAAGCCAAAGACCTCCAGGTCCCACCTCCTGCCCTGGGCAGTGCCGCTCCTGTCGTTCACCTGGACTTTCCACTCTCTCCTCTATTGTGGCCAAAGCTCTTTGAGCCACTCTGGGCGTTCCCGACGACTGACGGCCTTACTCAGCGAGCAGTGGACATACGACCCTGGGGAACTGGGATGCCAAGGGCTGCAGAGGGTGGAGGACTCCTGGAGCGTGGATGCCCGCGCTTGGAGAAACCAGTGCCCTGGCCCTTCTGCTAATCCCAAGGTTCTCTCCTGCTGGATTCTTCTTCTCCCCCCTTTTACTATTTCTTTCACTTGAGTGTGGTTGATGCACAAGATCACATCAGGTGGACCACGGAGCGATTCAACATCTCTGTACATCGTGCTGCACACTGGCCATGAGTGTCACAAGACAAGGAAGGCGTTGGTGGAACTGAGGAAGCCTGGCACCCTGAGAGCCCGAGGGCGTGGGAGCAGGCCAGCCACATGCAGTCATCCTCAGGGGGCTCCGCAGCGCCCAGATGCCTCTGAGCCCCCCTTCTGTACATTGGCACTCTCCTCCAAAAGGGATCCAAGAGAATTCCAGAAATGGAGCTGCTCACCTTCAGCACACCCTGGCAAAGTTCACAGGCAGGAGCGAACAAAACATGTCCAAAGAGACCAGAGAGTTATTATTTTTGAATGAAAATTATGGTTGAGGAGAAACAGATGCTGAAGAGACATTACCGAGATCTGAGACTGGACTGTAAAAAAGAAGACTATGGTGCTAGAAAAGATGGAAGCCCAAAGAAGAAAGAGCAGAAAAGATCAAATTCCCTTTTTAAACGTACAATTGTGATGGTTGAATATGCCAGGTCATAAAAATGCACATGAGATTCCAGCTTTGGCCTAAACATTTATTTTCAGAAAAAAAAAAAAAAAGCAACCCCTCCACGAAACCTCTGAATTGCCAAAAACAATTGTTTACACGGGCAATGTGTTTTCAGGACATCATATATGCACCGCCTGCCCGGGCCCTATTAAACTGGTGAAGCTAAGTGAAGTTTTGTAAAAACCAAGTGTAGAAAAATAGGCAAGCATAGTAAAGGGAGGGAAACGAGAAATTTAAAATGTTGGAGCTCACCTGCCTGCACCAACAGAATCTGATGTGCAAGTCCCCTCCTTAACACAAAATGCAATCCTTTCCGGACATATAAATCATTTTCCTTGGTTCCGTCTTACTAGTAAGTTCGTTTTCAGGAGGAATTCTGGATGTTGGCAGAAAAAAAAAATCAAAAGCAGATTTTAAAAGAACAGATATGATTTTTCCTAATTCATGTAGCTTTGATGGGTGATTTTATGTTGATGAGTGACAGCGTGGCCATGGATTTGCGTGCTGCCCACACGTAACTTCAACACGACAAGCTTGCTGGGTTTTCCCCTCAAAATCTGATTATAAAATGTAGCACCTGAAGAATATCCATTCCCTTGGAGGGAAGAATTTAAAAGCTGCTTGATTCCCTGAACTATTTGCAGGTTCTTTAATCTTAGTGGGGGGAAAAAAGGTGACCCCCTTCATCACATCCCGTGACCACCCTCGTATTTTCAAGTTCTAGTAGGTACTCTCTTATTATGATCGAAAGAAATACTTGACTTGGGCTAATATATTTAAGACTTAAAAATGAAAAAAAAAAAAAAAAAAAAAAAAAAAACCTCCCCGATCCTTGTCCTGATATTTATCCTCATTCCCCTATGCACTTTTTCCCCCTAAAAAAAATCTGCTCTTGTTCCCCGACTTCTCTTCTGTCGGCCTTTATGGTGGAACAGACCTTGCGGTTTTATCCATCCTCTCATTTCCTCCTCTCTCCCTTCTGTTTTTCCAGAGCTCCCTCTCCTAAGAAAAGTGAGAAAAGGGGGCAGGGAGGAGGGATGTGGGAGGCACATGGTTCTTCTGTGTAGCAAGATCACTATGCTTATGTTTCCGTGAAGTCAAAACTTCTTACTGGGAGTTTTGGTCCAGTTTCCAGCTCTTAAACCCTGAGTGTGGCAAGGCGGGGGGGGGGGGGGGGGGGGTCAAGCAGTTTTG